ATATGAAATCATCTTGGTACTTACGTTAAATCTTTCCGTTCATAAGGAGATGGTATACAATAAACTTTAGTTGTGATGACATAAATTTTCTCAACTGCATGTCCATTATTGAAACTATGTCAGTACAACAAGGCAAGACAGCCCTATCTTAACCGTACAATGTATCGTATTTCGATCTCTTATCAGGCTGCTTCAAACTTTCAATAATCGGCGTGCTGCAATGAAACCCTTTGATAACTTTCATCATTAGGATTCTCCATTTGCCCATTCCGGTCAACTAGAGTCCACACCGACCGATTTATTTTAAACGCGCAACAGGGTGAAACGGAGAGCACCATTTTAATTACGGATGGGTTTACTTTCAAAGATAAAATTAACCAGTCTATTTTCTGTCACTCCTTCAAAGTGGGTGAATGTATCGAGCAAGAACCCTGATAATCAACAACTTGGGAGCCGCCTTTGATATAGGACTTTTATGTAATGTTCCATCTCCTGTGTACGGTAGGCACAAAACCAGGATTTACAGTAGGGACATCACCTATGCTTAGGGCTAATTTTTATGTCTCACATTATATCTGACACTTTTTTTTTATTAATGGAGCTAATGATAGAATGCGAGCTAAATTCTGCAGCTCAGTGCAGGAGCACTATTATTTACGCTGCTTATACCCAATTATGCCTGCGAGGTCCTTTGACCGTTCATATTGCAATTTCTCCGAACTCTAATTTCATCATCAGTAATAACATTGCAAACGCTTGATACCATTTCCTAAAGATAGCGTTTGGCAAAGTAAGTATTTATCAATAATTTTTGGTTTTATGAGAGCTTTCTCTAAAGCTGTGGCATTATGTATCTTGAGAAATGTGACCAGTTCACTCTTCATCAGAAAAGATTAACAGCAAAAGTTGATCCTTTCGCAAGCAAAAATTACAGTTGCCACAACTGAAATTTCAATCGCAATAGCATAAATCTTTTGAACTGTAATGAAACAGTTTGATACAATTTCATTTTCATGAGCCTGCATCCGCTACTTCTGGTCATGCAGATTCCGTACTTAGTACGGATTGAGTTTAAATGCATGCAAACTAAATTCTGCAAGTAAGTCAATAATGTGTTCCATCATCTATACTACGAATAGCCAGCCTCTCTGACCTACAATTTTATCAGCAGTAATAACATGGAGGATGCAGGACACTGCCTCATCAAGACTGGTAGACAAAGTAAGTAGGTATCAATGCCTTCTGTTTCATGAGAGATGCCTTTCAAGCGCAGGCATTCCTTATCTTGAGAAATGTGAGCAGTTAATGCTTCATCAAAGGAGATAGTGAGTGTTGAGGCTGTAGCAGCCAAAGATTTTAGTCGCCCGGACTAAAATTTTTGGCTGTTTGAGTCTCGATTGATAGTTTTCAATAACCTGCCAGCTCCGGTCATCAATAGTCCACATCTAATGAGTTTTAATGCACTTGCAGGGTGTGCCAGAGAATTAATTCTTGTATCCAATTTCCGTGCTAAATGGAACAGTTAATTTTCTGTCGCACTCTGATAATGGGTAAATTTGTCAGGCGAGGACTCAGATAATCTAGAGGTCAAGAGGCACTGATGTTTTATATTGAACAGCCGCTCTGCATTATCTCCTATATGCGGTAAGCAGTGACGGAAATTGCGTCTCCAGGTATTGCAAATTTTAGTGTATGTATAGAGAGGTTATCATCAAGATTATTCTGCATTAGTTACCACTTCAATTTTATCAAACCAATAAAGTAGTAGTATAGATACATACCTTCTGCACTGGTCAATATGAAAGACCTTGATTTGAAGAATTTTATCCGAACACAGGCTTTGATGATTCAATCAACTTCTGACCCAGAATCAAAGAGACTTGATAAAAATCAAATTAAAGCTAATGCTTGAAGTCAAGTATCTTTGATTTTGTGACATTGAGATGATTTCATTGAAGCAGTTTCATTTCAGTGAAGCGTACCTTCTTTAAGTAGACACATAACCAAGACTGGCGGGTGAATGCGTTAACCAGTTTTCCAATATAAAGCATCACAAGTCTATGAAAACATGCAGGCTTTAGGCACCAGTTGCATGATACACTGAGAAAACACACATCAACTCCGGAGGAGGTAGGCTGCCTGGCTGCTAGCAAAATTTTAGTAGAAAGTGGAAACGCAGATTCATTCCCACCGATTGAGAGCCCAGACACACATCATCGTATTGAGGGAAAGGATGATTTTTTGGTGAAAAGTTGCTGAATCTTATTAACGAGAAATAGTATCTCGGACTCACTATAGTGGGATATCATCAATCATTCATGAACAATTAATACTTGATTACTTGAAAAGATCACTAGATCAGGGCCGCTGGGAAGAAATGGCAGGTTGATCCGAGTACTTACTGTGACAACTAAATTTGTCAAGGGTACGGGAATCATAAAAGGGTTATATAGAAATGGATCCAGTTATCTTCGGCTACGATAAAATGGAAACACGCATCAATTAATCTACCTTTTCCTTGTTATTTAAATATTTAAAGCCATAATAAAACAGTAGCATAACCTGAAATTTAGTTTTTCTGGAGTCGGCGCTCACCATCCATCGCGCGGTTCTACAAGTTGTTTTCAAATCAAATTCTAACTGTTTTGAAAAATTGAAGGACCCGCTCCTTCTTTCAATAAATTCTCCTTTTGACGCCCATATAAGTTCGCAAACTTTTCAAAGGTTTAATCCTTTGAGTTTACAGATTCTAATTATACCCAGTTTGATGGGTTTCATGCTACCCTTACCTCCACAGCTATGCCAATAGATCCGATTTCAGAACAGCAATAAACGACTTAATTATTAATTGTTCTCGATTACACCTCAACAATACGAAATTTCCAAAAAATTAGTTGTAGTTTATGTAACGCTGATTCAAAATATCTATACTTTTATGGGGTTTTTTTCTACGGT